CCCAGCTTCTTTTCCCCATTATGCAGTCTCCCTGCCATAGCTTCTCTGTCCTCTTCCCTAGACTTGTCTTGGCAATCAGAAAATCAGTTTAATTTATCATCTTCGAACTTCCATTTTCCAGAATGCATTTTGTAAACTCCTGTGTCCCTTCCCAAGTCTCTCTAGAAGCCAAAAAGCAACATGTTTTCCTTCTTTTCCATTTGTTGTCAGGAAAATTTGTCAAGAATCATCACTTATGTTGCCAGACATCTGATCAAATGCTTCAGCTAGGGAGCCAGAATTCTCCAACTGTGGTATTGGTACATTTGTTGCATCTGAAATAAAACATAAGAAGGTGGTTAAGAGAGACACTAAGCAACTGCAGCAAACTCTCTATCATGAGGAATTCAGCGCAAAAAATACCTCTCAGTTCACAGTGGATTTTCAGAGGCTTTCAGGAAGACACCCTGCATTCAAATTCTAAGTGATTAGGACAAAATCATAATGATCTCCTCTGTCACCTTTGCTTCTTTGGGGTGAGGAAAGGAAAGCAGGGCAGGCAAATGTATCAGGCTTATATTAGAGCATATAAGGGAGCAGTTGCTCAAATGAGTCAAAGGAGAGACACCACAGACAGACTCATACTGGATTACTTCCTATGGACAGCAAAATGCTTCGAGATAACCTGCATCTGGCTGTAGTCAAGGAAAGAAGTCCTAACAGAATGAGTGCGGAGGGAGCAAGACTGGTGAGTTTGCTCTTCTCTCAAAGAAAGGTAAGCAGTGTGAGCTGAAGACAGGAAAGCAAATTCACACCAGCATCATGGGAGATGAGGATTCTACCTTCAGTGCCAGCCTAGGCACTTGGACACCTGTGTCCAAAAAAAAAAAAAAAAGAAACAAAGAGATCTTGATAAACTAGTTACATGTATTTGGGTAAATCAGGGCTAAATTACAGTGTTAACCATCCTGAAATTTAGTGTCCTGTAGATTGGTTTCTACATAAGAATTACAGTTGTGGTAGAAATGTCAGCCTGAAATATTATTCGGAGCTGGACAGATCTAATGTCCTACAATTCAGAACCAATACATGAGCTAAACCCTAACTTCCCCATTGCTCTATTACTGCTTGGGGTGTGACAGCATCGACAGGAAAAAAAAAAGGGGGTGGAGTTGCCATTTCTATTATAAGAATAAATCCTACAAATGGGTGCCTTCCTTCTCATTAAAAACTGCATCTACCCACTTTATGAACTATATAGTGGCACATATATGAACCCAGCCACCAAGCATGCAGACAAAGCCCAAAGTTAAGGAAAACAAAACAAACCATGGCAGTGACATACCTTGTGTTGATTCCCTTATTTCCTGAGCTTCTCTCCTCCCAAACCCACTTGGCTGCTGTCTCTGGAGTTTCTGTCTCTACAAAGAGATCTGGATGCCCAGCACAGTCTCAAATATGTCCTGGTTCTGTATTCAGATCCTGAGTCTGAATGGAGTATCCTTCTCTTCTCCCAACAGAAAATTTATGGGTACCCTTCTTGGTGCTGATTCCAAAGTGCCAAAAGGAAGGCAGGATTTTCTTCCATGTCTGGGAGGTCTACTATCATCCCAGACACCATTATAGCGCATCTTCAAGTTCTTTCTCCTCTCTTGGTACTGACCCAGGGAACACCTGGTACACTGACGGACAAAGTGCTCTTACACTTGGCTATCAGAGTCCAAGTGACACTAACACCACCTCAATGTCCTGGTTATTCACACATTCTCAGTGTTACCTATGTGAGGCCAGTTTGCAGGTATGATCGTTTCTTCTGAGAAATGTTCCAAGAACATCTTGATAGATACAGATAAATCTGTATACAGCGAAGACTTCCACAAAAAAGTATCACCTCAAGTCAATGGAACAGAAACTGGACCAGACAGAAACATGTAGATACTATGCCATGGCTTGATGTCCATACTGGAGTTAGCCTTGTCCAGAGCAAGAATAATGCACACAGTAGTGTGACCATGTACCACTGCTAGCAGATGCAGAAGTAGTTCAGTACTTTCCCAGGAAGAGGTCCTTACATGGATCTGCATGCCAAAACTCTCGAGTGTGAAAATGAGGTAAATCAGTATGGAACTGATCAGTACTGATAGGAAATCAGCGTGTGACAGCGTGCCATAAGCCTTCTTTTCAAAGGTACAAGATCAGCAACAGCTGGGCACACAGGCCCAAGCACTTCCAACAGCACAAGGGAAACAGAAATCTGTAAAATCTGCCATCAGAAAGCCAAGCATAAAAGGCAGCTCTACACCATAGGCTCTTGTCTATACCCTCATGAGCAGGAAATGGTTTGTGGGACATTACACTCAGAGCAAAGTGTAAGCATTTCACAAGAGAAAACTGAAACTCTGTCAGAAACCAAAGGGAAGCACAAAACACACTCAGTAGTAAAACACTCAAAATCTCCTTCCCAACAAGGATACCATGGAAGGTGGTGAAGCTAGAAAGTTTCCAGACCAAAATGACACCCCAGCCTTTGAAAGGTGAGGATATAAGGCTGATCTATGACACAGAGCTTATGAAAATCCACTGCAACTGCAAACCTCCTTAGTCCCTGCAAAACACCCCAAATCCATTGCTACCTGAGAGAAATCAAAACCAAGAGCCAGGGCCCAAAAAATGTCCTTTCCTCCATGCTCCTTGCAGAGCTCAAGAAAGGTAGCACTGTGACTAATTTGATTCATGAGAACATCCTGAAATGTGGACTGTTACAAGCCAAACAGGAGATTGCTCTTTGCAATCTAAAACTAGGAATATATCTCCAGAAATTATTAAAAAAAGCAAATCATATGTAAATCCAACACATAATAATTTAAAGAGAATTACATATGAGTGGTTAATAAGTAGATAAACAGTAGAGAAAATCTTCTATTTCCAGCTCAGATCTTCAAGCAGAACTACACATTATGAACTTCCCTCTCACTTTATTTTTAGAGATTACAAAGCAAATACACACAAGATCAAAGCAATGTGAAGAACCCAGTGGTTTTAAATAAATTGAGTAGGAAACTGAAAACTAACTTGTAGGTTTTCATTCTTTGAAGACTGTTTTGTAGTAGATAAAAACCAACAGCTAAGGAAGACCCCATTACAGTATATTATATACAGTATATATACATTTATATATTATAAGCACTTGCTGAGAGGATGATGATGGCTTACCCTCCTTTACTTTAGCATGGAATCAGTAAGTTTGTATCAGTTGTAAGACTGTTACATAGTGTGTCTAAAAGTTTCATCTGGATTCAAAGGCCTGACAGGTTCTTTGTATGAATTTTATGTACTATGAATCCATAAAAGAAATTGAAAGATTGGAAAGCAAAAGAATAAATTTCAACAGCAACTTTAGAAATAAAATCACTGTTAAGGTTTATTCACCTCTGCTACAATACCAAATCAAACCTGCGTTGTGTATATATGGCAATAGCCAACACCTGAAACTTTCAAAGAAAACAAAGCAAAAAAAACCCACTATTCCACTAGACAAATGCCCATTTGTCTCACATTGTGCATAGAGAAAACATTTTGCTGATAGCTGTAATGCTACTCTCATACTCTGAAGTACAGGATCTAATTACCATCAACTTAATTAAAATTTATTTCTTTTTATTGATTACTTAACTTTATGGTGTAGGTTTAACCCTACTGCCTTAGGGAATGTTTTCAAAGATTCGCATAAATGTTATGACTTTTTATATTAATTAAGCTATTCTGATTAATTTGCCCTTTTAAAATTATTCTCAGTGCTATATATCTGCTAAGTGACAAATGGCAGAGTTTAAACAATTACAGAAGTTCAAACATTTGTGGCTTTGCTCTTTTTATTCCCTTCTTTCCCCTCTGCCTACTCCTTCCACCCCTAGGGAAGTTCACAGATCACAAAAGATCTGTATAGAAGAGTTTCCAAGAAGTGCAAATTTTCCACAACTATCCTAATGGTTAGTGAGTTGTTTTGTGCCCACTGTTCAATTTTCCTGAACAAACACGTGTAATACCTCAATCTAATAATCCTTTTCAGTCCTCAAAGCCTCTAAATACAACATTACCTTATGTGAATGATAAACATCTATTAATTTTATTGGATTTAAACTCAGCCTGCATGAAAAACTAAAGTGTTTAGAGGAGATGTACACAGGCTTTGCTTAACTTAAGCCTAAACAAAGAACTCGGCAATAAATTACCCCATGAAATACATTATATTCATTAGCCATAACTAGGAGAGCAGTTGTGAGAAAAATTACAACAACAGTATCTCATTATCCTAACACTTTAGAAAAGTCACAACTCCAAATGGAGAAGAGGTCATGATAGGGGTTTTTTTGAATTCTACTTTTTTAATTTTTCTTTTTCATTTTTCTGGCTTATAAGCCGAATTAATTTGGCAATGCTGGAAAATAATTTTTACATTATCATGCTTTCAGCTAATAGGTGACTAATCAGCTGCTTTTGTAAGGTTTAATACTTATCATGGAACCTAAATCATCCAAATCCTAAGTTTTTTATAAAAATAACCTAACCCCACCTTTATACCCTGTAGTACCAAAAGAGTATGAAATTTTTTTTTTTAACAGGTCACAAAAAAAACCTGAATAAGTATGTCTAGAGTCTATGCCTAGAGTCTTCCCTATCTGCAGCACTTCTTTCAAAATGTTTTTTTAAATTTATTTTTAACCTCACATAAAATTTTCAATACAAATGCTTATATAGGAAAAGGAGGGGTGTGGTAATATAAAGAATTCTGCTTACTTGAAATTGACTTAAGTGCTTACTGTACTTAAAACCCCTTTATACTCCCAACAAATAGGACTGCACCCTCGCTAAAAACATAGCAAAACCCCCAACAAAATGCCACTAAACATAAGACTAAAAATCCTTAGAGGACTCTATAAATTCTGCTGACATCCCACTCACATAGGAATGACAGAGATGCTAAAGGGAAGCCAACTGATGATCAGTCAATACAAGCTTACCTGTTTAAGTGCTTTCTTTGTGTGCTGCTGGAAGGAAGATACTAGCTTGCTTTGCACCGGTGCATTAGTAAGGCTTGAATCACGATTGGAAGACATTTCCTCAGATGTCTGCTTTGGGCAAACTTTATAAAAAGAAATAAGAAATCAGAATACTGTTATGGGGGTTACCTTCCCTATTTCTTGGAGAGTCATAAGGATGGAAAAATAAACCAACACAAGCAAATGCCTCAAAACCAAAGAGCTTGCTGTAGAAAATTCAGCTGATCTTGAGGTCCACATCAGCTGAAAATCCAGACATATTCTAAGAAAATGTACTGCTTCACTGATATTTGTACCACATCATACATCATACCCTTTCTATGCAGTTCAGGAGGCCTTGCCTTTCAGGTCCTGAAAGGTAACTGAAATAGTTTAGCAGATTTCACATAGAAACTAGATAAAAACTACCTTCCTCATCAACACATTTTAATAGATTATAAAATATCCAAATGAGCATTTATACAAGAGAAACTGATGACACCTGGATCTAGAAAGATTTATACATATGTAACTTCATACCTATTTTACAAGTATCTCTTGGTAAAGCTAAGAACACACTTTAATGGGTAGACTGGAATATCCTGCAAGATGAATTCTGGTCTCTCAGGTAATACATGCTGCTACACTTGTCGGCCTTCTAAATAATACATGCTTTAATGAACAAATACTACAGTACTTGCATTAAACAGCCTCTTGAATAAATGTTGCGTGTGACACAGAAAAAAGTCACCTGGTTAAAAATAAATGAAAATATTATTTGTTTTGGTTTTTTGTTTTTTGGTGTTTTTTTTTAAACAGCTTTATTAAACAGATATGAAAGCTGTGAGAGCAGCTGGAGGATCCTATTAGTCTTGGTCAGCAAACTCAACTGAAAGGGCTGTAGAAACCTTTCCACTCTTAATGCTTGCATTACTATTACTCTCACTAGTAACCTAAGACTGCCCAGCTAAACCAGCATTAGCAGAATCCAGAAATGAAGCAGCTTTTCTTCCACTCTCCTCTGCTGATTCAGTTCAAATCTGCCTTTCAGCAGTGTTCAAAGCTGGTTTGTGTGTTGACATATCTTCTTTATAATGTTTTGCAGCAGTAAATGGTTTTCCAAGATCTGCCATACTTTGCACACCACCAGAATAGTCTGAAGACACTCTAAGAAGCTGTACAGACATGTGCCAGAAATAACGTAGCCCAGTATTAATCTAATTTCTCTGCCCATCCTTCAGTGGGATCAGCAGACACCCAAAGTAGCTAAGTCCTGTGCCTTTAGCAATGTTTCTTAGAAGAAACATTGCAACATTCATTGATTCATGTTTGTAAGGAAAAAAGACACAGACAATTTAGGTATCAATAAGTAATGGCCATCATAAGATGCATGTGATATTAAACCTTTTTTTTACACTGAAAGAAAAAGTAATTAATACTTACCTCCAGAACAGAGAGTAAGTATTAATTACTTACATACACTCTATGGCACTGCTTTTATGCCAAGATAACTGCCATACTCGATTAAAATTTTTCATTACCAGGTAAGAGAAATGCTCTTTTATCACACGATTTATACTGTTTTTTGTCCTTTTTTTTTTTCCTTATACTTTCAGGATTTGTCAAAATACACAAAGAAGGTGCAACACAAAACAGGTTCTGAGTTTACAGAATAACCTGGTTTGGATCAATCTTTTCCACGTGATGAACAAAGCTTACTATCAAATAAGACAACGTAAAAGAGCTGCAAAGTGTCAGCAGAAAACAAACAATAGCGGTTTATATAACCCAAATAATTGCAACAGCTAAGCTCCTGAAACAAAGAACATCTATATCAAAATAAAAACGAGACATTTCAAATTGCCCAGATTTTGTCTTCTCCTTCAAAGAAACTTTTTTTTTACTGTGTTCTGGCAAATTTTGAGAGTCAAAGAATTGAAGAAAAAAACCCCAGAAACAGCATGTGCAGACAAACCTCAAAGTTAGCAAGAGAAGAGAACACATTCAAAAATCCTTAAAGAATGGAAACTGGTAAACTTAAGTGCCCCTCCTAAAACAGGATAGATACAACATGACCTGTCATGATAAACCTATTGCTGTTCCCCAGAATGACTGCAATTCCTATTACCTTCCTGTTGAAAAGGGAAATTGAGATTTTCATTATGGTGCTCTAGGATACTATCCAGGAGTCTCCCCTATTTATTTTGGTGATAAAGTTCATTCTCAAGAGGTTTGACAACTAAGATGATACCCCACACCACAACCATTAACGTCAAAGTCATGATACAGCAGGAATAAAAATAAGCATAGCTCTCTATTAATCTTTTACTTTCATTCATTTCTCTTTTAAGAATAAACCTAGAGTTGTGACAGAATTTATAAGAGGCCATACTTTTAATTCCTATAATTACTTCAATTTTGCATAAAATATTATTGGCGTACTAGTTTATTTTGGCTCTGTTCCTTGGAATCTTTTACAACAAAGCTAAACCAAGAAACAGGAACTGTTCTAGTGGGTGAAACAACTGGAACTGAAACCCACTGAAACAATAAACAGCTTTCCATCACTGCAATCTCTCCTACAGATACAGAAAGAATACCGCACTTCAGGCTGGTTCTTTAGTGCAACCCAAAACAAGTTTGTTCACAGTTTTGAAAAAAGTCCCGACTTTTTCCTGTAGTTCATGATTAAAGAAATAGACACATGAGGTTGAAATATGGTGCTTACAATATTTTAAATGACACTGTGATTAGAGAAACTCAACCTAATTTATTTAAAACAAATGATACTTCCTTTCTAAAACTTATTTTGTACATTATATTTTTCTTCATATACCTTGTAGCTTAAAATAGTAAGATAGTAGGAAACTATTTTAAATGTCTCTTTTTATGTTTTTATGTTTTAATTACATTTCCATTTTCATTTAAAAATGCCTGATAGAAAACATGGCTATGAACCTAACCATCTAGTAAGTAAGAGATGCCATTGCCTATTTTCCAAAAGCAGAACATACAAGTATTAAAAATCTAAATACATTTTGTTAAATTATACAATTGCTTAATAACTTATACAGTCTACTGACCTTATTAGCAAAAAATAATACTAAAATTGACATACAGGCTTTATTTATAGGATAATCAAGACATTGTTTAAAAACAATATCAATTGTCTTTTCTGTATGAAATTAAATACAAATATGATACAATGAATAAATTTAATCTTTAAAACATGTTCTGCTACTTAGCAATTTAAATCAATCTGTGCCAAAGTGTGACTGCATTAAAATGTCTGTGACCACATAAAATTGTTTTTATTTATTTCTTAATTTCTATGGATAAAGTCCAACTGCTTTTCTCTGAATGGGTCAGACATAAAAAAAGGGGAAAATATGACAGAAAGATATATAACTGAAGTCATCACTGATGATCCTGTGAAAAAACCAATGCCTTAAGAACAAAACAGGCATTTCTCCTATGGAAACCAAAGATCACAGTAAAAGAGAAAGAAATTTGAAGTGTTCTTTGAACATATATATAACTTTGGAAAGCTGCAACCACTTTTTCCATAAGCGCTGAAGATCCATGAATATTATCAGATCCACGTTCACTTGAAAATCTGTATCAGAAAAGAATGCTAAAAATAAAGTGGGTGCTGGGGAGGGAAAAAAAAAACAAAAAAAAAACCCAAAAAAAACAACCCAGAGAGAATGTCACAGATAAAGGGAAAATATTTGGGTAGCAAATAAAGACGATTCACCATTATTGCTACAGCAGAAAAAAGAAATAAGAGTGAGTTTAAGCCTACAGGAGGTATTTCCATTTAGTGGAGAATAATTAGGCTCCATTCTTTAAATTGGCTTCCTCAAGGGCCAGGACCAAGTGAAGAAATAAAGAAAAAGCAACTATTAAGCCATAAACTGTTAGGTTATGAGCTGGAAGAGCAGCTGGGTTTCTGAAGATAAGACCTCCTTAGTGAGTGTTCAGAGACTGTTAACATGAATGATAGAATTAGAATTATTTAGCAAAAAGAGTATGTTAAAAATGTTTTTGGCAAACTCCATTTAAAATAATTTCCTCTCTTCCATTTTTCCAAGACTAGTTTTGTTAATTATTATGAAAGGCTATAATTTATAAGAATCAGCAATGCTGTCTTTGAGTTTCAAATTTTATAGGCTATCTCTGTTATTTTTTATTACCTTGTACCTTCCCCATCCAATAAATGACACCTATGTAAAACATATTGGAACATATGTTTCTTCAAAGAAATAATTTTTTGAGGAACACAACAAAAAATTATTCTGTCTCCTTGCCACTGAAAGTTATTAGGAATAACTGTAAACAGATTTATATAACTAGATGGACAGAGAAATTCCTGCCCAGTACAGGGCTTATTTTCCCAAAATCAACAGCACAATTAAGTTTTATTTCTGTCAGATCATATTGATTTAAAATAAAACCAGCAAAATCAACAGCAGTCCACTTCCCTTTTTTTTAACGTAACCACAGCAGATGAGAAGGATTGTTTACTAATGGCCACATTACAAAACATAAATTAATATTGTTGCCATATGCTAAAGACTAGAGCCTACCTCAAGCACAAAATGTATGCACACACTCCGGAGATATGAAATTTCAGAGAGAACTCCCTCTGGAAAACATGCACACAATACCTCTCTCTAAAATATCCATAAAATTCAATACTTTCTTTGGGTGACACAGATCTATACTTGTATTGACATAAATAGTTGCACTTTGCCAGCACAGATCTATTGAGTAATTCACCTCCATCACTCTTTGATCTCCAGAGCCCAACTTGCCAAAACTGAACAATTCAGAACTCTGCTGTTGCCATCAGCTCTTGAAAATGAAAACCAGTTTGGGAGTAAGTTAATTGTATGAGTTTGCCAAAGCAAGCAAAAACAGATGTATACATCAAGGGTACTGCAGTGACTGCAACATTCTTTCTGAAAAGCAATACTAGCACCGTGAATTAATAAATAGTATTGAGTAGTATCTTTTGGAAAAAGATATCAAATACCACATCAGCTTCATAGCCTGCACTGAATCCCATTATATTACAGCATGTTTTTGAGCCCCAACATTTCACAAAACTTAGAAAACTGTGAATCCTTATTCCAAATCAAGTCAACATTTTCCACTAGAAATATACATCCTGTCATCACTAAGCCACCAATTCCTTAGACCTCATTAACTAATGTACAGGAAAAAAACACCAGATGAGAAACATCCTCAAGCTTCACAGTATCTTCTCTTATTCTTATGACTCCCTTCAAGTGGTAATGAAACAAAAGGAGTTAAGCTCAATTCCAAGTACAATATTTTTATTTTATAGTTGTAGGAAGATGAAAGAAAAATACACCAAAAAAGCCTAAGCAAAGTGAAAAACTTCTCTTGCTGATGTGTCACCCAAAATACTATGTTTGAGTTGCTACTTCATTGCTGCTCTTCTGCTTTTAGAAGAATCTATCTCACATCCAGATGTTGCCACGTGTCACAAACATTTTCAGTAGAATCATCCAACATTATTCCCAAGAGACAAGATGCTAACAGTAAAATGTTTCATTGAATCGCCAGGAATTCCATTCCTGGAAAGGAACTGAATATCCAAATGGGGACTCAGGTTTCAAACAGTGGTGAATATACAATCTGCTACAGAATTATCCTAGGGTTTCCTAGTCTAAAAAGCACAAGGTGTTCAAAAGCACAGTAGCTACAAAGCAGAATTTCAGGATCCAGCATGAACATGATCCTCTGCTGTCCATCATTTTGTCAGCTATCTCTAAGAAAATTAACTAAGGAACTAACCTAGGGAATTAACTCTGCCATTTCATGTTCATAGTTGAAGAACATACACTTCTAGCAAGTGCTGAAAACCGAAGTGTTTCAAGAGGAGACACAGGTTGCTGGTATTTGGGCACACACGAGAAGCCCTGTTGGGGCTGAGGTGGGGAGGGAAGTCATGCTGCAGCACGAATTGCTGTCTCCTCCACACGCACATCATTGCGCATTCCATTGGCTCGCACAAAGACCATTTTTAATCAACTGCGCTCCGCGGCTGATGGATTAGCCCTGGCTTCAGAAACCCTAGGGACAAATGCTTTTTGAGAACTGAACATCCTATTGATGGGCAAAAGGATATTATAGTCATCATTTTCCCAGGCAACAGTAATTGGGATTTTAATTCTTCTACCCACAGCATCTTTATATGCTACCCCTGTATTTGAGGAAAATGGAATTTTAAAGATATGGGACTGCTACAGAGCTTCTATTAGAAATCCCATTCCAAACAAAATCAACTGTAGCATAAAGAGTTTCTTTAACATACGCCTTTGGAGAAGGTGGGGAAAGAAAAACTCTCCACAGTATCTGCAAAATCCTGAGGTGTGACCATTTTACTTGTCTACTTAGCAATACTGACGTGGTGTAATAGCTTTTGCAAGTCATGTGTTTATAATGGTTAGGAATTTTTATATTACTATGCTAGTAAAATTGTTCAGTAGCCTGCATTTATATTGTGAAAAGTGTGCCCGCTGAGGAATGATGTGACTCTTCCCTGTCTGAGTGTCAGCTGGTACATTTTATTCTGAAAGACTGTGGTCTAAAAGCCCACAAATGGGATGAGGCTGTTGCTTACAGTTTCATCCTTTTGCTTCCAGCTACATTTAAGGAGGCATTTTTTAAACTCTTGCTAAACAATTTCTGATCACTCTGTCAGAACTCTGGCTTCTGAACTCTATCAGAGTGGAAAAGGGCAAATAAAAATCTAATCAATTGGGCAATTAAGAATTCAATGTGCAAGCAACGCCCATCCTCATATGTATCACACATATTCTAAAACACAAGTCAGAGAATTTGAAGTGGTTTTTGCACTGAACTAAATGCTAATTTTATGCCACAGAATAATTTCCTGGAAAGAAAAAAAAAAAACAGCTCTAGTGTGAAAAGCATAATTGGACTGTTAGACCAAATATTTTCTATAGAAATAACTATTCTCAAATATTTACAAACCGATCAAGTCACCACCTCACCTGTCATAACCTAAATGAGACCATCCCTATTAAACCCTCCAGAACAAAGGAAGTGTTTGTTCACTCAGGACTTTTTATGTGTCTTTTATAAATCCTTCCCTGTTTATCTTAATTCCTTCTTACAGCTATAATGAATGCAATACACTGGTAATCATTTAGCTAGTGCTATACCCAAAGGAAAATCTCTGCCTATACTCTTTAATCAGTACTATCAGAATTATAGTCTAAGAACTACATTGGACTAATTAGCAAAAGCATCTCATTCATGTTCAATTTATTTTCTGTTGTGATTCTTAAATGCTTTTCAGATATACTGATTTATTGAACACATATTTCTGCTGCATAAATATAACCTCCTTTTTTGCTTGAAAGTCTAAAAAAATTCATGCTGTTCAACTGCAACAATTTACGAGGCCATCAAAAGACAATTATTATTTATTACCAATAAATTTAAGCTAGAAAGATTTCAGTTTTCAAAAATTATTGACATTAAAAAAAATACTGAATCAAGAGTGGTCAAATCACATCCTCCAGAGCAAAATGCCTACTGTGGATGGTGATTCCTATGCCTTTGCAGATTAAATAATTTGTAATTTCAATCCACCAAAAAATGGAGATATTTTTTGGGCATGGTCCTATTTTTAAGCCAAGCCTTCTATACTGTAAACGAAATCAGAATTCTAAGTGTATATAAATGATCTCTTTAACAACAAACCTGCAGTCTCAAGAAAAGCAATTATCAAACATTTTTGGCAAAATTATGTCCTGTACTAGCTGACTGATGTGCTATTTATTAAATACATGCTGCATTTAATTCTTAATTGATCACATCAAGCATAGGCCTTTCTGTATGCAATAGGCACTCACTACTGAGTAAATCCCATTTACTTTTTTTTAATATATCCATTGCTATCCAAGGCAGGACAAAAAGATTAACATGCCTTGTTCTCAAAATGTTAAATATATTGCAGTTTTCCAAGATTTGTTAAAGACAAAAAATGAAAGAAAATTCTCAGCTTTAAAACCAATCTAGGTGTAATTTAATGCCCTATTTCGAAATTTTAAAATTTTTGCAGCCTCTCTTTTATGTCATCACAAGTGCTATAATTATTTTTATTACTGTGAACTGTGAAAACAGTACATAGCCTGCTCCCAGTCAAAACCCAGCAATTTTCTACTTCTGGAATTATGACATCCTATTTACATTCTATAACATCCTATTTACATCCTAACACTCCTAAATAATTGCCCGTTTTTTGGCCATCATTTTTATTTGTTTATAACAAGTAACATCAACTTTTGCTTTGTATTTGTAACTGTTTAGACTGCTTTTTACCGCTCTATTCTTCCTGCAATTTCAGGAATTGTGCAGCAACAAATTTTCTGAGTATCAAAGAGGAATTGTTAAAGAACATGTAAGTTCACTTACATACGTAACATACACTGCATAAGCATCAAACCACTGCACATGCAGAGTCTGTTAACTTACAGACCATATCAAAGACTTAAAGATCAGATATCAAAGAAAATGAAGAAGCAGAGATGTTTAATAACTGTAGACCTTTGTTTCCACAGAGCTTCAAAACCTCAGTCCTAGACAGACCCACAACATGCCTTGGATAGTTCTGTTACTCCTATCACTGAACACTTTATGATTTTTCAGTGCTGCTGGAGAGGAATACAAAAACTGCAGTATCAGTCCTGTAAAGGTGCAGCCTAGGAACTAAGTAAGTTGCTCAAGATAAAAAAGGAAGCCTGTAGCAGAACAACAACATGAGCTGAGCCTTTCCATGTCCTAGTTGTTAAACAGGACACTGTCTCACCATATACCAAAGCATGCCAAAACAGCAGGCAGCAGCCCAGCAGTGGGACAGGTTGAGATGGGGCAGCAGAAGAGAACTGATGAAGGGAAGGTTCATTTCAAAAATTCTGGACAGTCAGATTTTTTTTATAAAGCATCCACTTTATAATCACTACATGAGTGTAGTTATAATTCACTTCTTTTCCTTGCAAAGTAATTTTACATGACTGATGTTCTCCTTATGAATAACTACTAACTCTCAAAAATGAAAAAAAAAAATTTCTAAGGTTGTAATTTTTAAGTTATTTCAACATTTCAGTTTGCCATTATTTTAGAGGGAAAAAAATGCACAGCATTTGATACTTCAAGATGTCATTATGTGACAATGGCAAACAGGAGTACCTCTGCCTGAAAGAAAAAAATACAAACCTTTGTCCACTGCCCAGAACTCTACTGACGGGCCAACCCCACATGTCCACACTGAAATCAGTGAGATGTCTGACTCTGACAACTGCCAGTCTGAAGCCTGGTAAAGGCAAATTATACTTTAGCTCTGGGCCCTAAACAGAAAAACTGTAAGCCAAAAAATTACCTACTGAAAACACACCCAACATCACTATTCTTTGTCTTTTAAAACCCTAAGTCAAATAAAGGCACTTAGTGTCCCTGATTTCTTCATAAGCCCAACAAAGAGAGGGAGTCACTCAAAATAGTTCCACTGAGTACAAAAGATTATTTATACTGCTTAGAAATCACACCATTAAAATCTGAAGAAAACAATACTTTTTTTGTTCCCAAAATATGCCCTCTAATATTGAGATTAAATCACCTACCACCATTTTCTTCTCCATTATTATTGTTTGTCTCAGCCATTTCAGTGCCATCTAACTCAGATTCACATCCTAAATCCAATGTTCCATCAGTAGGGCATGTTGATTCTTCTTTCTACAGTTAAAAAATAAAAATAAAAATAAAATTAACAAGAAAAAAAATCAATCATGATCCTGCTGCATCTCCGAAAATAGATTACTGCAGTGTAGTCTCATGCTTACATTTCAGAAAAACCAAGAATAAAATAAAATATGCCTGTGAGTTACTCTAGAGAGAGCCATAAAAAAACAGACTTTCATGAAAAGACTTGCAAACTAAAAGCAAAAAAGCTGTTTTGTGAGGTCATAACATGCTCTTTTTAAACCTAAAAAGTCACATAAAATACAAGATCTTCCACTTTTTCCTCTTTTTTTTTTTTTTTTTAACAGCAACAGACTTGTGTGGCTGTTAAAAATCCTGGTTTTCCAGTTGAGTGTCTACAACACTGCAGCAAAACACAAATCCTTTAATGTTTCTTTTCTGCCTTTGCCTGTTTCCTGAATTCAAATAGCTGAAGCAACCTGGAGCTCACAAGCATGGGAGTGATTGTGAATTCCTGGAATTGTGCCAAGAATATCTCTCGATTTAAAGAAAAACAACAGCATTTGTTCTAGTAAATTAGGAAAGACAGCTTCTGAAAACTATTAATTCAACAGCAAGTATTCAAGTATTTCAGGATTTTTAGTTAGCAGGAGCTGACAAATTTATTTACTTTTATATTTTTATACCCGTACATCAAATACATCTGTCATAAATTACAAAAGATCCTTCGCCCCAGCCCAAAATTTTAGTTGACTACATTTACACTGCCAAGAAGATCATCTCACTTTCTTTTTTTCTCATCTCTGCCTCACATTACTCCACTTCTATTGTGAAACCACTTTAAGTTTGATCATGTACAACAAGAAAAAATTTCCACCCACAGTAAACATCATGTTCATAACAAAACAAAAAAAATTAAAAAGGAATATAAATAAAGGCAAAATTCTATCACTATAATTATATTCCTTCTCAAAAGCAATGATGCAACCTTTGAATTAAAAGCTGATTTATATTAGACTTGCAAATAATTTTTCACTATTCAAAAATCAAACATCAATACAATTACTTAATTAGAAAGTCAGTGATCCTCTTGAGCTCACTAGTCCTAAAACAAAGGCCTTACTGTGAACAACTCCAGTAAAGCAGCATTTTAACTACGCTACGTGTTTTTTATACCATGTGCCAAATTCAAGAACACGTATATGCTTTCTAGGATAAAACATTCAATGTTTACTTTCATTATAAATCCTTTTAAAAGACATCTGAAAGCAGTTAGAAGGACTATCAGGTCATTTCCTCGCCAAAGAATCTAATCTGTTTACCTTTATATCTATTGAGACATTCATAAAATGGATTAATAGCTGTATGTACAATCCATATACAAAATTTAAACTTACTTTGAGAGCATAGAGTCCTGATTTCCCAGGGATTTTGAAGAATGTTCCATCACCTACACGAGTGTTAGTATGAAGCATTGCATTCAGGCAAGCTAATGGAGAGGTTCCACTGAAAAATAAAATTGTGCAGTCTAAGATTGAATGCCTCTTGTAAAACTATTCCCTCAGTCTATTTTTTTAAAAACTCATGCTTGCCTGTTTTTTTTTTTTTTCCCCCCCCCCCCCCCCCCACTTTTTTTTTAATTCTCTCAACCCTGAAAACATCTACATTACAATAACAGGCCAGTATCAAACTTAATCATATGCATCTGTCCCCTAGGCTTGAGGCAAAAAGTCTGTGAATTATAATTACGTTTTTCTTCATACAGAAACCAGCTCCACATTCTGAAAGAACCAAAGTCCAAATATTTATGTGAAATTACTTCATAAATAACACCATGAAGCCTCATTTTTAAAATGTTACAGACAATGTGGCTGCTGCACATGAATGATCAAAACAGTACCAAGTTCAAGGGCAGCTGCATCCCATAGGATGAAAGGCAACAAAAGAATAATAAAGAGCCCAGAAAGAACACATTTAAAATTAAAACTGATATATAGTAAAGCCTTCTTCTGGCTCAACATGGTCAGCATGCATTACTATATACAAATATAAGCACATTTATGCCTTTTATGAAACATTATCTTTTCTAATTAGAATTGTTTTAGAGATTATGAAACTGACATCCTCAAGGTAATAATTTTAATACCACTGTGGAATGCATCTTAAAGGACTATTTAAAAAGAAACACAACACATTTAGGAAAAAAAATGAGCATTTGGACAGGGATATCTTTGTAGAATATACATGTTTACATCAGAAAAAGAAAACAAATATTTCTACCCTAGCTAGATGTATACTATTCTGAAAAGTTGATCTAAAAAATGGTGGGAAGGAGGCAGTCATAAATTATTTTATTGTATTTTAATTTAAAAATTGAAGTACAAGATCTATAGATGTACTATCACATCTTTATCCCCATTTGCTGGCTACTGTACACGGTGTACTCAGGAACTGAGTCTGAAACTGTGCTTCTTCCCTGGGGTCCCCAGTCTGCACGCACGCTTATCTTTAGCCACGTAAATATATTCCACTTGGTTAAGTGGAACAATGCCTGTGCATTAAATTAAGTGTGTTGCAAAGTATTTCAGGATTAATTATATACTCAACTATAAACCAGGAACAAGGCTTCAAAGTTCATCAGAAATTACTCTTCCTTATTCTGTGGTATTAAGACACAACATCCAATCTTAGTTGAAAATTGCAAGCCTGATTATTTTTTTAATATGTGAAACTGGATTGAAATTGTTGTATTTCATATGGTTATGCTTTCTGTTGATTTCCATGGCTCTGTTACAACAAAATTCATCCTTACTATAGATATATCATTATTTTAATGGCAAGATCGATAGTGTGGTAATTGCTCTTCCGGTAAAAATTAAACTATAAAGTGCCCTCAGGCCAGGAAGTCCTATCTATTATAATTTATTTACTGCAGGTCACCTAATGTATCATATTACTACATCTAAAATAAAAAATTGCAGGTAAAAATGCTGCTTGTTGATAAACATATCAGATATGCAATAGGTATTTATTTTAAGGATATTCTAAACATGATCACGCAATATGAAAATTCTGACAAGTTTTTGTGGTTTCTCTGGCTTCCCTGCAAGTAAAACTAGCGACACATTTGGTTTTGATAGAATGCTTTAACAAAATACAAACCAAGATACGTTGGAAATAAAATTATACTGCTAGCAGTGGGACAGAAGACATTAAGAGAGTTCATTGAGTTTAACGATTACTTAAACACTTTTGTAATATGTAAAATACTTCTCTTTACACATTTTCCTTACTGTATTGATGCTTGACAAGCAAAGAGACAAAGCATTTAATACAGCAGTTACGGCTGTGTAATTTCTTCCATATGTTAACATACATAACGTGAAGCAATTTCAACTCTCTCAGACTTGGATCTTTTTAGTGAAACATTATCACCGATTAAGGCTTTCTCTGCAAGACAGAAAGAACTTGCTGACTCTGCAGCAGAACAAAAACTTGGTATGTCAACAAGAAACAAAACTGTGTGTGCATGTATGCACAATTTGTATTCTCCTCCCATTCTGATGGATATATGCTGGACTCCACACTTATTTTTAGATATCATTAACCAATTGAAACGATACAGGATGAATGAACCCAAAATAGAGGATTTGGCAACAGCTCGTGATCACTACTGTGCTCACAGCAGATATCTTAATCTTCAAAGTCTAGACAACTGGCAAGTGGACAACAGAAACTACTCTCTGACTTAGAAAGAAACCTGCATCGGCTACTGAGCCAACAAGCACTTTAACTACTGCTATGCTTGTTTCTTACAGGTATCTGCAACTCCTAATGGCATGCAACCAAAGGGCCATATCCACCCTTCCTGAAAACTGGACTTGGTTATGTCCATAATGAGCACAAAACAACAGAACACACTTAAGCTGCAAATGAAAATAATCTGGGAACACTGAGGGGTGGGATTTATTTTGAGCTAACATATCAAACTGAAGTTCCATGGTGTCCTTTGTCAGGTCTGCTTTGACCCATCTCAACCAATGACTTGCTTATTCTTCTGACAGCACTGGCATCCTTAAAATACTGCAAAATCCCAAATGTTATACACAAATGATGCTGGAAATGCTTGCAACACATAGGACTGTGATTCAAAAAGCCAGCAAAGATCCCATGATGCAGACTGATGTCTGAATCATAGATCACTTTCTGAGAGATCTATACTACTCATTGCATGCTTTCTAAATTCTCCCACAGCCTGAGGACATGTTCCTTCTGCTCACGGCTCCTGGCATGTATTAAATACAACAGTCAAGGCCTGCCAATATAAGGCTGAGTATCTCTGAATATCAAAAATGGCACAGCTTGACCTAAGTTCTTAAAACACTCCAAATCAGTTCAACTTTGATTCAATTAAATGAAATTGGATACAATAATATTCCACTTTGTAACTTGATATCTGTGAACTTTTAGAGTCATAATATATTTTAAATTGATATGGTGCAAGTTTTATTGCCACAGTCTGCACACAAGAAATATGTTTACCACTTACAGTTTTCAAAAGCAGAACTTTCATACTATTTATCATCATTTGGGTGAGACTGCTTTAAACCACTGTGGCATTCTGGAAGCCATTTATGTATAGATGTTATAATCTGTAGAAGTATGTCTTTAAGATAGGTATTTTTCTGCTTGTGTGTTTATTTTATATACATATACATCCATACACGTATACAAGCAGTATTACCCCACACACACTTTCAAAACCATTTAGAAGATAAAAAGTTACTTACTTTCTGTAAAAGTGATGTTATGATGTTACAACAACCAGCAACATAGGAAAGAAAAGAAAACAAAACACTCATTAACCTTCCAATATAAAGGCTGCCAATACAACTTGATCATTTAGAAGACATCAGGCATTTCAATGTTTGGTAAGTTCTCTTTCCCAAAATCACTGCACGCTGGTAGTACTCAGTGCATCCCTTCCAAATTCCTGTGTATTATCAAGTCAAACTTTGCACCCCTAACTCCCCCAGCCAAAAATATCTCCAACATTTTGTGATTCTGGGCTCCCTCTACTGGTCACGGAGCCAGTGTTACCTAAATCGAAATCCCAGACTTTCCACACAACAATCTCTGCTAAAACATGTAGGGGAAGTACAGATTTCCGCTACTTCCTCCTCTGCCACCCTCCCCAAAACCCTATTAAAAATTTGTAAAAAACAATAGTAAAAACGTGACTTATTTTTATATTGGAAACTTCTCAAACACATGGTTCTGTCAGAAAAACCCTGAAAACTTCTGTGGTTATGCATATAATTCTAATGGTCTTTGCTAGACTGCTTGCCAAGAGACAAAAATTATGATCTTGGCAAAAAAAAAGATGTCTTAAATATGGAAAATAAATTGACTAAAGCTGCCTTGTCCAGGCAATATAGTTTGGCAGACAGTGAAAGTTGCCTGACACTTTGCAGACAAGGCACCTTGGGTCCTGCAGCAGGCAGCACTTCAGGCACTCAGCCCCACTGTACTTGGTGTAACCCCTCCTCTGCCTGACATGTCCCCAAATCTAATGATGACTGCTGTAAGAGGAGCACCTAGATGTCATAAATTTGTACAGTATTTATTTGTTTGAATCATCTGCTCTTTTTATACACATCCATAAATTGTCACAAGGGAGCAACAATTTTTACTCAGTGCTAGAAACAAAGTAAAGCCAAAACACTTAAGAACTAATTTCTAGGCATGTTTTGAAGTCACACAGAATATAATATCTTCACAATGCATGTAAGTTACATCAATTTTAGAGTGACAACAGATAAAGAAAATAAAACTTATCAGGAAAGGCTGCAGAAAACCCACTTGTGCGGTACAGTAAACAGAAAAGTAAAAGAAGGCATAATTGTAATTTTCCAGAAATATATAAAAAACTGTTGAAGTCAATGGAGATGAATGTTCTTCATTCCCCACTGGGGGAAGAAAAAGAAAGTTCATGGATAGCCTAAAAGTGTGAATGCAGCTGCTGATGTTTTAATCAACACCAGAACAGAGCAGGGAAGTTTATAAAATGACTTTCATCAGAAGATCACACACACTTCAGCCCCAGCTGATACAGACTGGAACCTGTCCCAGTGTCTATGTTCAGTGATCTCTTGAGCACCCATCAATCACTGTAACCTGTTATTCTTTATCTCTTCTATAAATCCACATTTTGGTTAAGGCTGAGGTTAATCATGTGCCCTAAGTATACTTGGTCCAACATATACAGCAGCTAGAAATGCTGGAAAATTGACTCAATGTCTAGACCTGCATTGTTTGCCCAAGTGTCCCACACAGCACTGCATGCCTGGTGTGATGAGGCCCTTTGGTTTCCTCTTAAAAGCTCTCCCACAATCTTCAAGGAACCATGTTCCCACAGTCCTGCTGTCAAGTGTCAGCAAAATGTCCCAACCTGCCTCAAAAGACTGTGGCTGTGACCTGGCTCAGGAGTGACAAAGAAAACCACC